GCAACGATTATGAAAACAACGTATTTTTTTTTTGCTGCATTCCCTTTCGCAATGATGCTCTCAATTTGTCTTGCGTTATACATCCTGCCCGTGCGTGCGCTGCCCCCCCCCTCCCTAAAAGCCCTCTCGGCCAGGTTGTGTTGTGACTTGCAGTTGCAGTCTGTTTAATAAATCCATATAAACACGTTACAAGGGAAGCTTTAGTTGCCGTGTCTTTATTCTCCGGTCTCTAGCGTACAGTCAACTTTTACTAACTCGTCAAGCCGGGTTTTTTTATTGCTTTTTCAGTTGAATTAAACTTAAAGTTCAGGGTATTCAACTGTTAAAAACATACTGTTCAAATTATTATTTTACAACATTTTAAAGTTCAATAAATGGATGTTTTCAATGTCAATGAATAATCGTATTTAATAATTGTGATATCAATATTGACCAAAAATAATCGTGATTATGATTTTTCCCATAATCGAGCAGCCCTACTACTAATTCATATATAATTACATTAACTGTTAATGTCTTTCATTTTATTTCAAATTAAATACAATTACATAAAAGATCTTTGTATAGATATTTGAGACGTTTATGACACGCAATGCAAATCGGGCAGACGTTTAGACGTCAAGTGTCCTATTTGGGTTGCCGTATGTAGCTGTCCAATATGGCGGAACATTTCGCGCTTGCGCAATGCAAATCGGGCAGAGATGCAAATCGGGTAGTCACAGCTGCACTACACCCCTGGTTCTAAGGGACATGTTGATGTCGTGATGGGTTGACAGCATGTCGAAGATAACATCGTATGTATATCCTTCGTTAAAATATTCCCTTAAGATTTCCATCTCTTCTTCCATTCTTTCCAACTCAGTTTAAAATGTGTGAAGAAACAGCTGAACAGTACCAAACAGGAAATACGTGGTGCTGTCGGCCGGGTGCTGACCAATCACGAAGCGTAATTTCTTGACTGGCAGCAAAAACAACCAATCACAGCAGTGCTTCTTTGGCTGGCTCTGTCCAATCACAAACAAGAAGTGTTCTCCCTGAAAGAATACCCTTTCCATAAAATGTGAAATGCTGTGGCGTTTTCTGAAATGCTGTAGCAGTGTTTTGTGAAATGCTGTAGTGTTTTTTTAAATGTCGTTGTGTTTTATGAAATGTTGAAGTGTTTTGTGAAATGCTGTAGTGTTTTGTGAAATGCTGTTTTGACTTGCCACCGTATGGGCCACCGTATGAGGGGGAAGATACAGCAATGGAGGGGTGGAGTGAGGTGAGGTAAATGGAGGAAGGACTTAGTGTTGATGTTTTTTTGAATCCTTATTCATATGGATTTCTGGAAAACCTGAGCTCCAGGAGAAAACCTTATCTGAGCAAAAAGTGAAGGAGGGAGGGGGTGAGGTAGGAGGAAGGAGGTGAGGGAAATGGAGGAGGGACTTAGTGTTGGTGTTTTTTTGAATCCTTATTCATATGGATTTCTGGAAAACCTGAGCTCCAGGAGAAAACCTTATCTGAGCAAAAAGTGAAGGAGGGAGGGGGTGAGGTAGGAGGAAGGAGGTGAGGGAAATGGAGGGAGAGAGTTACTGTTGTCCAGCTGGAGCTGAATCATCAGAAGCTTCCTCCATCTTCTCCATCTTCTCTGAGGAGGTGTTTCTCGCGTCTTTGGCTTTCTTCCTCATCTCCTTCTCTTGCATCTTGCTTATCATTTTCTGCAAGGCAACGTCTCTATCCTCAGTCTCCCCCCTCCTGCGAGAGAAGAAACCTCTGCTCTTATTCTTCATGTGAAGACAGAGGTCTTCCAGAAGTTTATTTTCCTCCTCCATCTTTTTCTCAGTCGTTGCCCAGCTCAATCTTCTCTGAGCCATGTCGTCCCTCTGCTCCTCCACCTGTTTCAGTTGTGTCTCCGTCAGGTGAAGCTTGGTCTCCATACTCTGGTGTTTCTGGTCCAGGTCGTCCTTCTCCTGAGTTACCTCGTTTAATTTGGTCTCCACCAAATTAGCCTTGGACTCCCAGCTCTCTTGGTTCTGGGCCAGGTCTTTGGAGAACTTCTTCTTCTGCTCTTCCAAATGGTTTTCCAACTGCTTGACATCCGTCTCCTTGCGTTGGACAAACTGCTCCCAGTTCAGCTGTTTTTCAGCCAGGTCTTTGGAGAACATCTTCTTCTGCTCTTCCAAATGGTTTTCCAACTGCTTGACATCCGTCTCCTTGCATTGGACAAACTGCTCCCAGTTCAGCTGTTTTTCAGCCAGGTCTTTGGAGAACATCTTCTTCTGCTCTACCAAATCGTTCTCCAACTGCTTGACTAGCTTCTTCTTCAGTTTGAGATCCAACTCCATGCTCTGGTTCTTCTTGGCTGAGTCCTTTTTCTCATCCCTAACCATTTTTATCTTTGCCTGTACCTCTTTCATTTCACTCTGGTGTTTCTTGGCGAGGTCGTCCTTCTTCTGAGTTACCTCCTTTAATTTGGTCTCCACCAAATTAACCCTGGACTCCCAGCTCTCCTGGTTCTGGGCCAGGTCTTTGGAGAACTTCTCCTCCTGCTCTCTCATCTGTTCTTTCAGCTGATTGACGTCCGTCTCACAGCTCAGATTATTCTCGGCCAGGAGATCTTTCTCCTCTTCCACCTGCTTTAATTTAGCCTCCACCTGTTTGAACTCAGTCTCCAAGGTCAGGGTGTCCTTGGTCATGTCGTTCTTTTCCTGAGTCACCTCATTTAGTGTTGTCTCCATCTTTTGCTTCTCACTCTCCCAGGTGAGAGTATTTTCGGCCAGGCTCTTGGTGAACTTTTCCTCGCATTGAAGGAGTTGTTCCTCTCTTCTCTGCAGCAGGTTTAAAGTCACCAGGTTGGCCTCGTTGTGTTGGTCTGAGAGCTTCTGTTGCTGTGTCTCAAAGCATGCCACTGTGTCTTCCAGCTGCTCTTTGTGTTGAAGCTCTGCAGCTTCCATCTTCTCCTCCAGATCGCTGTTTCTATCCTCCAAGATTGTCACACACTCAAGGAGTTCTTCCCCTTTTCTTATCAGCTCTTTCATGGTCTCCCCTTTTCTCATCCTCAGTTTCATGATCTCTGGGTCACACTGCAGGGGAACATCATTGTTCTCACTGTCAGATGTCGCCTGGTCCTTCTCGTCTGAGACATTTCCTTTCTCTGCCTCATGCCTTGCCACAATTTGGTCCATCTGCCTCTTGTGTTGGCATTCTGCATCTTCAATATTCCCATTCAGACGGGAGATTTCTGCCTCATGCTCCATGATGGTGTCAACCAGCCTTTTGTTCTCTTTGTGGAGCCCTGAGTCCCTGTAGTTCAGGAGCTCCTCAAGACGTTTGACCTTGTCTTTTTGTTTGCGCATACTGTGGCAAAAGTTCGTCCTCTCCTCCTGAAATGCCCCACGATACTCATCCAGGCCATTTATCTGGCCATTTCTGCAGTGGACCTGCCTGTAAGCTCGATCTGCTTCTGCTCCATGGTCGAATGGCCTGGGGTTTCCCCTGGGGTTTCCCCTGTTGTTCTGGGGGCTTCTTCTATCCATGGCACCGTCTGTAGACTTGTGTTGTGCGTAGGTAGAATAATCTATTTCTCTTTGGAAGAAGGGTTCTGTCTGAAGACTGTGAAGGTTGTGAAGGTTGTCTGAATGTGTCTCAGCTCTGGAGTGAAGGGTGACGAGTGAATGCACATGAATGCCCTTGCAAACTTCCTACAGACTCCTGTGACATCATTATGGCATCACAGATGTCTTTGATGTTCTATGACGGAACACTCATCAAAGCCAATGATCTCATCGCTTCCGTGTGTGAGGATGTCATAAGTGATGTCACTGAAATAGTTTGGTTTAGACTTCTGCTGTTGCCATGGAAACACAAACTCGCAATAATAATTTAAAAAAAAATAATACATTTAATTGTTATGGCGCTTTTCCTAGTGCTGTTGCCATGGAAACACGAACTTGTCATAAAACACGATGTCAACGTAACTCAATGGTAAATGATCGAAAAATCACCAAACTTCAGATGACCGTTAATGGTAGAGCCCTCAACTCGTCGCTGATAACGAGGTAGCCCTCAAGACTTCTGAGCCTATTGTGAGTCTTCACCGCACGCCATAGCCGTGATGTGGCGCCCATTTGGAGGCTCGCTTGATGGCTATGTGATGGAGCTGGACTGTGTGTTGTTGTGTGTAGATCTGATCCAGGAGCAGCTGATGAAACTGGACTGTGTGTTGTTGTGTGTACAGTACATTATTTTCCTTTAGGTTGCCAGATGTGTCGCATGCTTGAACATGTGTCTCATACCTTATAGGTAGTTGTTTTCTGCCTTAAAGGAAATGAGATGGACTCGATAACAGTGCAATGAGGAACAGTAGAGTATTCACTTTGGTGTCGATCTTGTTCTCTATTGTCATATTTTCTTCCTTCAACTTGTTACCAGTAACTCTCTCCCCCCCCCCCCCCCCCCCCCCCCCCCTCACACTGTATTTCTCCCCCTCATGTCATTTTCTCTCTCTCACTTTCCTGTCCTATATCTCCTCCCCCTTTCACAGAGAAGCCTGAGCTGTCAGGACATGCTGAGCAAAGTGTAATTCTCACACAGGCCCGTCCCAGGGTGTGGCTCTCTGGGTGTGTTAGCATGTCATCATTTACGACTCACATCTGTGGATCAACAATTTCCCTCCATGTGTGTGTGCGTGTGTCTTGACAACCCTATGAGTCTGAGTATAAACAACGAGATAGGATCAGCATTCAGGTTGCAACTTGATTTCTGGCCAACCTTCCTCACATTGTTTTTAAGCAACTCAAAGGTGCATATATATTCGGATCAGATTTGAAACTAAGGTAATGGCTGCTACTTATTTAGAGTGGCCTTTAAGAAGACTGATCACCTGTATTGCCTACAGCAAATTTGAGACAGGATAGACAGAATCTTTTCTCCTCCTCCTTAAATGTCCTTCTCTTCCTCCCTCTTAAACACTCAAAACATCGACATTGTCCCTGCAGTGTAAAAACTTGTCGGAAAATGTATTCGCTTCAAAAGAAAAGTTTTTTATTGCATAAAAATACACAGACTACCAAAAAATAAACAGTTCATACTACAGCAGAGGAACAGCAGGTGATTTTCTGAAGTTAATGAATGCTGAAGACAATCTTTATCGTACATTATATCCCCTATAGCGACTAATAATGTCTTAAAAAGATTAAGAGCGACACATGTCGTAAGTAAAAGCTTGTTTGTTTTTACCTTCTCCATGTGTAAACCTAGCACAGTTTGTACTGACTCTCAGTTAAAATGTCTACCAAATCAAAAGATAAAGCACTTTTTTATGCAGTTACATAAAAGTTGTTTTCATTGAACAGTTAAAACTCTTTACTGTGGTAAAAACAATAAAGCTTGGTCTTGTTTGTGCACGGATTTGGTCTTGGCATGAACAGAACTGTAACTGCTGACTGGGATGAAGCGTGAGTGAAACCGGACTGACTAGTTCTAGGGACATTCAGCAACACTGCAGTGAAGAAGCTAAGGCACATGTTAAACACACCGTATGTCAGGAGATTGTTGGTTCAGTGTCTCATCAAACCAGCCGATTGTTAGGAGAAGAATCGTTTTTAAACCTTATGAAAACTTTTAGAAAAAACACGATTGGTTATCTTTCAGGGAAAGTCTTGTTTTTGAACTTTGAGGCAATGGGACATAAAAAAACACTGGAAGTTTTGAGTTTATATTGCTCCCTTTAAGCCAAATGTTGACACATGTTATAAATGTGCATGGGAAATTAACTATCAAGATCAATCAAAGTGTACCTAAAATATATTAATTTGCTTTCCAGTGTAGAGTGACAGAACGAACAACTGCAGCCAATTCAATCAAACATTACACGCTGTGTCTCCTCATCAAGTGTATTATTAGTGTTCAGAACATATACAAAGACAGTACAGCAAACCCCCACTCAAACCCTTTTGACAATAAGTAAGAATACAAAACTTTGAGAACAAATAGCAGACAAGAATTAGCAAAAGAAATCCAATAAAAAAAAAGGTGCAAAAACAAATGTTAAAACTACATTTCCATAGATTACATTCAGCTTCTTACTCCAAGCATTTGGATCCACCTTACACACAACCACATACAGAATAGTAGACATAGATTAAAGAACTGAAAACTATAACATATTGGACAAAACCAAATGTCCTTTTTCCATCCTGTGCAAAATGTAGTCAGAATTTTTCTTCTAGCAAGGTTTTAGGAGTTCTACAATAAACCAGATTAAAGCTATTCTTTACATATAATGACATCCCTTAGGTTAAGTGCACTTGGGTGATCTTGCATTGAGAATTATTGGTAAAAAGTACAGATAAAATGAGGAATGTATCTCACATTAAAATGCAGAATGTTAAATGGTAAAAATATCTTTTTATGATGCTGTCTTAATCTAATATAGAGGTCTGTACATTAAAGGAGATGCAACATCCAATCACAGTCCACTTCCTGGAAGAATGACCCATTGCCTCTGATGTTCGAGGAGGGTTTTTCACGAACCAAATCTAACTGAACTGAGCCACCGTGGAGCTTTGGTGAAATGGTACAGAGTAAACATTTTTCCCTAGCTCAGAGTGGAAATGTCTGTAATCGGGAGGGTGTGCAGGTTGAGTTTTTAAGCGGAGGTATAGAGGTATTTCACTTTCTTCAGGCCTGTGAGCTCGTCCTCGTAGCGTGGCAGGCAGCAGAAGAGGACGGCACATCCGATGCAGAGGATGGTGGCGCCCCAGCCGAATCCGTAGGCCCAGGTGTAGTAATAGTGACCCTCGAAGATCATCTCGTTGAATTCGCATGGGTAGACGATCAGAGCGATGACCTGGAGAATCACTGCAGGGAGAAATAGAGAGAGAGGTGGATTTAAAAGAGGCCCTATTGTGCTTTTTTTGCAGTTTTCCCTTTGCCTGTAGTGTGTTATATAGGTTTTTGTGCATGTAAACCAAAGTTCAGGCCAGAGGGAGTTTCTCTCCCACCGAAAAATGCTTTCAGATGAGTGTGTGAGAGTGACATCAACATATGACATTAGGTGAGTCAGAATTAGCAGACAGTGATCAGATGAGTCACTGCACTGCGACTGACTCTCATTATTTCTAAAGAGATATTCTCCAGAAAGGTGCGACACTGATTTGTTCTGTGATGCACTTTTTGCTGACAGTAGCCCTAAATGCCCTGAAGCAAAGGCAGGGCAGGCAGTGAGTCAGGAGTGAAACCAAACACAAACTGTTCTGTTAATCACAGACTATTCATGTAATCAGAAACCGGTTCAAGGGTAATTCATTCTGCAAGACTCTTACTGATTACTGATTGCTGATTACATTTTTTTATTGAAAAGCTTTATTTGAAAAGTTGAAAAATGTATGAGAGACCCCCAGACAACTTCAGATTGTATGTATGTTATAAGGGAACTGATAGAAATTAAAGGAGCACTTTGTTTTTTAGCACATTTGCTACAAAAACTTGACATTACTGCTCACTATTTTCCAATGCATAACATAGAGGTTTAGACTAATAACGGTACTATCAAATGGACAGTCAGTATTGTATAAAAAGCAGACACTTAAGGGGAAATAAAGGTTATAAATCGCTGTCTTTGTTGTGGCACTTTTTTTAAATAAAAGGATAGCATTGCACTTTCATCACATAAGCACACATTCATCACAAGTGAGTGTGAAATCATGATCTCAGGTGAATCATATGAGCCCATATTTGTTGTGTGGGTAAGATGAAAGCCCTATCAGAGGGATACTGTATTATCCAATTATTATTTTCTAATCTTTCTTTTCCTTTTTCTTCCATGAGTCAGTTTGTGCCACCTGTTGGAGCCAAGTGCCAAATAGTTACAGCATTAGAAACTAATCCAAAGTACCTTTACCTCCCTCCCAGAGAAGCTGGGAATGAGACCTGCTGTTTCACCTGACAGTGAGAAGCTGTGAGTATCATTGCGTGTGTTTGTTTGTCTGGCTCTGTCCCATGTTGTCAGACTATCCGTGGGCTGAGTCAACAGAACAAACCAACTGTTCGCATGGAGTCACCAAAACCTCACCCTTTCCTCCTCACTAAAAGACGCCCGATTATGTTTTCCCGGGGTTTTGTACAATCAAAGTGTGTATTAAACGTTTAACTTAAAGTAAAAAAAGTCTTGTTAACTCATTCTTTAATCAGATATTCACCAATTAAAAACATAATAATGTTGATTTTACACTATGTAATGCAGGTGGACTTCCTAATGATTGTGTTTAGACAACATGAGACATTTGTGAACGTCTGCCTGTTCTGTCCAATGAAAAAAGGCTTCTATATTCTTCAACTTAAGGTATACGGTATTAGTACCAGGTACTTTATCAGTATCGGGATGTTGGTTGTGTATCTTACCAACAAGGACCAGCATTCCTCCGATGACTGGCAGGAGTGTGAAGTTGAGCGTGCAGCACAGAGCCACGCAGGAGATGATGAAGGCGACGATGAGGATGAGGAGGCCGATGATCATCAGAGCAGCCACTGCCATGGCCCAGGCTGGATTATCAACAGAGACAAAGATAAAAGTTAGAGGCATGCTAGTAAACGGAAACACTTGTAAAAACCTGGAAAGACAGTCTTTCAAATTGAAGACTAACACAGACACACACAGACACACTTTTTTAGCTTCAGGTACATTTCTGCAATAAAATGTTCTGAGTCTCCTTCAGAAATAATGATGTTAAACAATGAGCTTTACAGCATTTTAGATGCCTTTACTGTTAATATTCTCCAGATATCAACATCTGGCCCCACAATTTAAATAGTTATGTGTAATATGGATACAAATACAACATGATTTCTCAGAAAGTATCTGAAATATCTAATATTTACATTTTAATAAATGTTGTTTCGGCCTCTCAGATACTGAGATTTTCTGTTTTATGATACTAATCTAAATATGTTTAGTCTATGAAATGTCCATCTCGGTTCCTCAAAGTGCGTATTCTGTTTTATCAGTTCAAAACCCAAACTATTCAACTAGAAAATAAAGGGCAGAGATGATGTTAGGGATGCATTACTAAAATAAATTAAACTATTTTTTTGACTTTTTTGTTCAGTGTGTCTTCATGGTGTTCACACAGCTCTGATGGTTTCTCTCTCACCCCTAATAGCGTGAACTCGTCATGAGGGCACATTCCACCGGGCTAGTGAGGTTCGAGCTGACATCAAGAGAGAGAAAGTGGGAGTCAAGCTGTCTGTTTGCGACACATACCGCCGCTGCACCCTTAGCAACACTTTCTCCTGCTTAGTCAGTCTGTGAGGTCCTGCAGGCTTTTATAATTACGGGGAACTGATACAGTCTGAGAAAGGCCACTCCCATCAAGCGTGGTGGTAAATCTTTAGACTGAGTCAGTGAACTGCACTCTTTGTACAGTACGAGACAAATTAAAGATGATGCCACTTTTCATGTTGCAGGAGGGTTTTTAGGCCATTTTTAAACATGCCTATTACATTACATCATACAAACTATCACCAATCAGTCAACACAAATGAAGATAATCACAACATGTTTTTGTGCTACAGCCAAGCCCTGTGTGACTGTCGACATGCAGTTACACCACGGACACTGGATCAGCCAACACCCTGAATTATTCACACAGCTAAGTGTTCAGGTGCAGTAATGTCCTACCTGCCTTATTAGTATTTCTCTCAATATGCACACACAGACACACACCAGACCAGTAGGACTGGTTCCATTTTCTCCCCAAAGAATAAACAGGAACACTGTCATGATAAAACAAAGTTAATCTGGGATTCTGTGGATGAGAACAATCATCAGACCATGAGTAAACTAAAGTAAAGCCATGCAACAACACACAAAATCTGTTTACAATTTAAAAAACTGCGACCTACAGTATGGTTTGTTTTAATTATCCCTCTTCAAGATTACATTGAAACATGTGGATAGTATCAGCTACCCTACAAAACATGAATGCTACATAATAGTTCTAAAAAACTATATTGGAGAATGTAAAATAATACCTGACTGAAGATAAAGTGTGACTATTTCTGTTTAAAGCATAAAGTTGATGTTTGTGGAAAATGCTGCACCTAATAATTTTAGCATACCAGCATTCTGTGGTTTTGTGACGCTGTGTGATAATAAATCATCTGCGGTGTGTGCATTCAAACATTTCTGGATTCTGTCAACGTGCGTCTTTACCATGGTTGGTGAATCAATGGTAAAGTATGTTTGGGCTTATTAATTAGAGGCTGTGTTTGAGCTACAGATGAACCCAGGGTTGTTTCCCCGAGTTGTCTAAACAAAGACAGGAAGGAGAGCAACTTCCCTGCCTTTAGAAAATATAATAAAACTAAAAGCATATTATATCAGCATGGCGTTGTGTTTTGTCCTCTGCCCAGTGTTTCTGTTTTAAGCGGGGAATGTTCTGTATTTAATGTGAACATGTCACAATCACTTCTACTTAATTCCCCCCAGCTGTTCAACATGTTTTCCTCTTCTTAACAAAACTAAACAGATTAGGCTGCACCCCTCCTACACAGGAACATGTTCTTAACTGCAGCTTTACCAAAAAGCCTCCAATAAGTCACTCACACACACTCTCCATAGTTCATTACATAACGCCTCAGACATGTCAGACGTGTTTTGCCTACAGCTGGGAAGCTTTTCTCTCTTTTGATGTTTACACTTTCAGCCCTGGTCTTACAGTCAAGAACAATGAACATCAAACCTTGTAAATAAGAATTTCACACAGGCAGCAGGGATCAAATTAACAACCTGGCTTTTACTTGAAAATATTTTAAATAGAGATCTTCCCAGCAGCTCTTGGTGCTTTGTTTCACATTCATACTATTGATACACCTTGTTGGTCAAGAAATAGAAAACGGTGACTGGAAGTGGTAGAGGTGATAAAAAGTGAGTGACTACCCAATCATGTAGGAGCAGGCAATATGGATATAATCTCCTTTGATGGTACTCAGCAGTTCCTAGGGTCAGGGTTAATAAAAAATGTGATTGGCAACTATATTTATATTCCATAAATCATTGAGTGTATTTTACAGAATAAAAAATATCCAACATTCTCTGGTTTCAGCCTTTCAAATGTGAGGATTTGCACTTTGGTTGTCATTCATAATAATGAACTGAATATCTTTGGGATTTAATCATGAATCACATTGACATTTTTTAACAATTGATAGGTAAAATAACCCGAAGATCAATGGATAATGAAAATAATGGTAATCTGCATGTTTTGTAATTACCCATTTGGATATAAATCTGTTGTTGGATATAGTCCATTTAAAGGAAATTCATATAAAAAGTTGTTAATGGATAAAATACTCAAACTAGAATGTCTGTTTTTTGCTAAGCAGGCAATATAAATCAAGGGGCTTCATTTATTGCACACAAAAATGATATAAAATTAATAAAATATTGCTTTAAAGCTGTCAAATTGATATTGTTGTCTAGGACTTTCTGACAGCGGACTTTTCATTGTTATCATCTGTATTTTTCCTACTGTGCCAGGTCAAACGTTGGCCCTTCCACTGATTCCAATGAAACCTGTGATTGTCTAAATGTCTTATTCTGCATGCCCAAACATGAAAGCGTGCCGGTTCCTTTGAATGCGAGATGCCATACAGGGAGCGGCCTAAACTACATGACATGAAACAGTTTGTTCCAATGACAGTATTCACTACGTCACACACATGTACTGTAAAAATAATTTGGATTCCTCAGTTTTCTGTTCACGAAGATAGCCCCACAATAATTTAGACTTGAGCTGTGACCCAAGAATGAAAATGTATCCAACCAGAAGTTTTTAGGCAGCTGGGATCGTGTTTTGTTTTTGTTTCAGTCCTGCTGATATCCGGCAAAAAAAGCAGGAGCAGACAGTTTAGACAAAGAACCAAACTCGGTCTAAAACTTTAAACGTGACCAGGAAATGTCTAGAATATACTTTTTACATTAGGTAAATTAAATAAAGGAAAGTTTTAGCCCCTTCAGTTTAACACTGGTTGCTGCCAGAGGGCAAAGATGGACTTTCGGAAATGGAGTTTCAGAAATTCACTAGGGATGCTCCGATCGCCAATTTTGGGGCCGATCGCCGGAATCAGTATCGGCCGATACCGATCGCCGATCCGATTGAGTGGGTGGGGCCTAAATGGAAGATTTAAACATCACTTTAAATCTTCCATTTAAAGTGATGTTTAAAACTCAGTTAATGGGGCTGATTCACTGGAGCTTCCACAAACAACAATCAACTTAATTATTACATTCAAATGATGTACATTATTCAAGTTTACATTCACTTTGGATAATAACACGGGAGAAATGAGCGGAAGCGCTCTCTCTTCCTCTCTCCCCCTCTCTCTCTCTCTCTCCTGACAGCCCGTCAGTATCTCATGCAGCTCACTGATCGAGTAATGAGTGACCCGACAGTGAAGAATAAATATATTTATAACTAGTTTAGCTTGTTCCAGAGGTAGATAAAATAGCTAAGTGTGTTAGGTCTAACTCTTGTGTGTTTCGCTCCGCTCACCGGTCTGTCACAGCGGGCGGAGCTGCAGGATTTCTGCTTCACACACGTTGCATACCGCTATTTTACTGTCTTTTTCGGACACCTTAAAATAATGCCAGACCGGTGAAGCCATTTTGGCGAGCTTGTTTTGCCGCGCACAGAGAAAAGTGTCATGTATTTTACGTCATGCGATCGGCTCTCGCGATCGGCATGTTTAGAGAGCACCGATCGATCGGTAGAGAGAGAGTATCGGCCGATCTCGATCGGTGACCGATCGATCGGAGCATCCCTAAAATTCACCCATACCAAAAATGTCCCTCCATGAACCATTGTTAAAATATTAAACAAGATACAGCGACCAACAAAGGTCACAGAGGATTTTAGGTAAACAAAAAACAATTACTTCTGTAATCTTGTTATAAATTATATAGATTGAGTGAACAATGAACCCGAGCTGTAATTAATGTTTTCTCTCACAGCTTTTCCTCTTTTGAATTTATAAAAATATCCTTGAGCTGAAGGAAACAAGATTCAATTTCTTGTTATGTCCTAACGACAAAAGAAGCTAATTCTCACTTTTTCTAATCCAGAAACTTTATATCTGGTGTTTTTGTCTCAAAACAATTGATCAATTATTAGCATTTTCTTTAGATCGACCAGATGTAACTCTGAAACATGAGAGTTGAACAAAGGCCTTGAGGATTTGACAGGTTAGCAGTAAAAACAATGCAGTTGTATCAAGGATTCATAAAAAGTGTCCCTATTAAATGTGGGAAAAAGTCAGTATTTCTCAAATAAATGCTTTCCATTAGCCCTGCTAGCTGACTCCCACAGAGTCTGATAAGAGCAACAATACAGTCTTTGTGGGAGTGTGCGGGTGTGGAATAACACAAATACAACCTGAGGAGCGGAGAGTGGGAGAACAAGAGTCTGCTCTGTTCACAGTTATTGTTCATAATAGTTTCAGAGTGTGTGTGTCTTTTGTCTCTGATAGGAAATCTCATTAACAGTTTTTCTATAAATAGCCATATTTGTGATAACAGGTCTGACAGACAGACATCCTATAAACTGCTTATTATCAGCTTCTCAGGCATGTAGGTCACAAAGTATTTAAAATGTTTTGTGAGTTAGTGGTTTTGAAACTTTCCCCCCAGCAAAAGTAATAATACGATTATTATCTGTGAGCAGTGTTATGTATAGATAACGTCTAAGGTTGTTTATTATTGTAGGCGGTATTAGCTGTAGTGATGATGGCACACATATCTTTATTTTCTTGCCTGTAGAAATAAAAGTTTGAAAAGAACAAACAAAAAATACTTCCTATATGAATTCATCTCTGCCTGGGAATGCGCTGCAAGTTTCATACGACTTAATCCAGTGTGTTATTGAATAATTTGATAGGCCACCGGCTTTTAGCTCCAATAAAATCATTGTGTATTACAAAGATTAAAGAAGACATTTCCAGCCAGAGGTAGGTTCAAAAGAAGCCACAGGTTATAGAGCTGCTATGATCATATTACAATTGGTTCTTTGGGGTTGCATTTATGGGACTAATTTCATGTAAAGAACTTACAGACATGTTCAGACAGGTATCAAATGCAAAAAAAGTGTAAAAAAAATCTTTGAAATGCAACAAGTTTCTGTTTGTTTAGTGTTATTACCTTTTTCCACCTAGTGCTCTGAGGTAGTTCCTCTTTTAAAAGATTAATTTGGTTATTTTTGTTTACTTGTTGAAACTATTGATGTTAAAGTCATGTAAAGAACATTTAAACACTTATTTTCAAATTAACTACCATTCAAAGTTGACTTGGCTTTTTGTTTTATAAAGCACCTGAATGAAACCTCCCTATTGTATTGTTATAATGTACCCAGTCAGGTAATGAATATTTTAAAGCAAGTGAGACCAAAGTTCAGTCTGTCTGTGTGAGAGTGTTGTAGGCCTCAGCCCTCCCCCCTCAGTTTTTGGTTGTAGTCAGAGGTCGAGTCCTTCAAGTTACAATACGCGAATGTTGAATTTGACACCATAGCGACACAAACACAGAACCATATCACATTACTGGCTCTATTAACGCATTCACCCGCTTTATTTCACAACCTCTGCTCGTCTTATGTTCAGCAGGAACTATGTTACGTTTTCAGACACTTACGGAACTCCATGAGCGTCTTGCAGTCCCAGATGTCATTCCTGCCTCGGCACTGCTCCCACATACTGGCGTAGTGGGTCTTGGCGTCTTCATCCTCGACCCATCCAGAGGTAGCGGCGATGGCGATAATGTCAAAAATAATGGCGAAGAGCAGCAGCAGGGGCACGATCCACCTGCATCGGGGGTAGGCAATCCCGCAGCGAAACATGACCGACGATCGGTGTGTGAGGAGCGGCGTAGAGAAGGGAGATCTGTCGGGGAGTGCGGTACAGTCCGTGCGTTTTGGATATAATGGGTCCTGTGCGTCCCGTGCGTAAATGAGACTCCGTAGGTGTGGTGGGAATACCAGATAAAAATGCCCCACCCGAGTGTGTCATGCAACCTGTTTTGGGCTGGGCTTGTCTGACTCTGAAAGCTGAAATTGGCCCATCCCCATTCACTGTGTCATATTTCACCCGAAACAAAAGCCTGTTTAACCTGAATGCTGCTTCCCAATATTTATTTTACATTTAAAGTGTAAACTTGGTCAGGAGGATATGGATGACATAGTGAGTGGGCGGGGTGGGTAAAGGTTTAAAAGAAGACAAATAAGAAAGATGGTGAGATGATGCAGTACTTAAAGTAACTACAAGGTGGCAGCACAGCTCACTAACCAAGAATGAAAAAACATAAATAATGAATTTCTCCAGTTCTCTGTTATCAATAAAACAGACAATAATAAAATGAAATCAATATTTAAAACATGTGGATCCTGACTTAAGCTTGCCTAAGTTAAATACTACATGGTTCTTAGATCTTTTGGAGTCTGTGTTGGAAGACATTTGAATAAATACTCATTGCATACTAATGTAGTTTTAGAAATAAATATAATACTTACATTTGTGTCTTGTAGGACACTTGGCGTAGGCTCAGAGATGTATTTTGGTTATTTATTTGTTGAGGATACATAGATAGTTTTATGTTGCTTATTGGCACCTGGACCACTGCATTAAAGCTGTCTGTACATTGTGGCCCCGAATAAAAACACGTTTTGACATGAACTAAACTGAACTTAACACAAACAAATTAGAGAGAGGCAAATTTGCTTTAATTTTGCTGCTTCAAGTGCAATAACCGTGTTCCTAGCGATCTGCAGACTTAGGACACTTAGTGTACACCTCAAGTGTTATTTATGTGATGAATCTTTGTCTCAAATGTTATTAAAGTCAGTATTATTTTTCTGTGTATTTATTTATTAGCTTTTTTGTTCATGCATCATTTGCAAAAACGTGATGTTAATATTGTTTCTGGCTGTTCTTGTACTCTCTACTATGACACATGCAGGAAATCAACTGTATTTATCCATCTTACACAAGACATGACAATGTTTTCAGACAGAAACACAGAGGGTAACAAAATGGTTTTGAGAGTGAAAATTATGCAGACCAAATGCTTTCCTTCTCACACCAAACCTCGTCCTACTTCAACACCTTTGGGCATGTATGGTGTGTGTGTGTGTGTGTGTGTGTGTGTGTGTGTGTGTGTGTGTGTGTGTGTGCGTGTACCCTCTACCACCATCATAACAAAAAACAGGGAAACAATATTTGCAGAATGGTAATCATCTGCAGAAAATATGTGGTGCTTCATAACGGTGAATAACTATATCACTGTCATGACACAGCCCTGGGGATTTTGCTGGGATAAAAGGTGATATTTTCTGATTCACATTTCACAGCCCATCTATATTTAAATAAAACTGATGCAATATCTCAAATAAAAACGGCAAAAGCCAAGAGTCTGTCAGGAATCCCTAGTCAAGAGCCGTCACCAGATGACAACTTCAATTTGTGTTAAAACTGATGTCCACAGTAACATTTGCTCTCCAATGCAAACTTGTTTTTATGGTGGATTTTATTTAACATTGAGATTATCTAGTACTTTTTAAGGTGTCAGGTGAGGAGTGCAAACCTGCTTATACTCTTTATTTTTGGAAAAGATTAGATGAAAAGTATGCATTTGTGTTTTCATTTACACATATAAGCAACAATACAGGTTGATTAAATAAATGCTACTGTAAAATAGTACAGGAAAGTCCACATAACGCCTAATAGAAAGTATTGATCCCCATATCAAAAATACTACTTATGTAAAAGTCATTTTCCAAGGACATCTTTTAAATATTAAGAAAGAGAAATGAGGACACAAACAGCCGTATGAATTCTTTTATTTGTTCTGTGTCAGGCCAAGATACAGATAGAAAGGATAGTATGACTGTAAAGATAACATTTGGATAGACCTGGATAATGGATGATATTTTGAAGGTAAACAAATACAACATATACAATGAAAAAACAAATAATAGAAAAAGTTAAAAAGCATTTTCTGAGGTTGTATTTCTTCACATAAACCAGGGAGTTATAAAGCATACTAAAAATGAATTGATTTAAAGTGGACCCATCATGCTATATTTGAATAATATAGTGTAGGACCATACCTATATAAGGCATATTTATACTTTTTTTTTTCAAAATACCAAACAGATCATGCATTTTAGCCATGCCTCATTTTGCTCAATTTGACAATTTCTAGCTCTGGGCAGATTCAGTGAGAACAGCACCATCTACTGGCCTGGCATATGTACTACAGCGTCTCCAGCGCTTTCGAACGGCAATGGCCGTGGCTGTCTCCTCCTGATTGGTGGAGTTGGCCCAATAGCCGTAGCGCCACCGTCCTGACGTCAGGACAGTGTTCAAATCTGGATCAGTTTTTATCAGATCCGTTGCAGCCCCTTTTTTAGAGATTTGGGTATGGAGGAAAATAGAGAGGGTTGTGTTTTCTGACACTTGGTGAGTTCCCTGGAACACCGGGGACACATATTCATGTATAAAAGACGTACAAAAGTGCATTTTGCATGATAGGTTCCCTTTAATTTTACTTGCCTCCATTCTCTATATTTTTCAAGGTATTCCAGTTTGAAACATGACACAGAGTTAAAACATCAGTCACATGTGGCAAACAGTAACAGTAAGGTTAGAATAACTTTGAGGTTATAAATCCAATGCAAATCCAGCATCAGGACTAAAACCACCAGACTCCAGGACAGTTTCATCCCACAGGCCATAAGATTATTAAACACCTGAACTTTGAAACAACCTCCATAACATTCATCTGGCTGCTACTTGGAAATTATTTATCTAATATATCATATTCCAATCACTTGTATATAGACTCTTATTGCACTATTTCTTACTATTTTTCTTTTTGTATTTACTATTTACTTGCACTATATTTGTCTGTTTATCGGTTTTATTGTGTTGCACTGTTGGAGGAGCCTGTGACCTAAGATTTTCATCGTCATAACTACACTGTAGCTATGTACGTATGACCAATAAAAGCCTTGAACCTGAACTTGAATGACTTTAAGACCTGTGGCTAGCATTTCTCTCCTGTTTTTAAAGTGTAAATTAAATAAATGTTCCCATTCAAATGTAAAAAATATCAGAATTCCTGGTCTTCCTTCTCCAATGTTGCTCATATCTGACTGAAACTACCACAGGATGTTAAAACAATCAGTGTTAACTTCCTGTCTGGGTTAGGACAGAGGAATTTCTCTCCCTGGATCTCAGCTTCAGTCAACACTTCACAGTCTTTATGCCATCTTTATCTCTCTGTCATCCTGTTTTCCCTGTGCTCACTTAGACACATTAGAAAGCTGCCGAGTACTTATCTAAACTGAAGCCTGAATTCAGTATCTGTTCCTGCATATGTGATGTGTTGGGACAGCATTTGTTCATTTTATTGTGCTGACAGACTTAGAAATGCTTTGAACATTATTCAGGAAGTATTCAGACCCTTTACTTAGGTTAAAGAACTGATAATACACTGTGAAAATACTCGGCAAAGTGTAGTGGTTATTGATTTTAAAAGACCATAAGAACATAAAAAACTGTACAAAATGATAAAAAAAAATAGTATAGTATTGTAATTCATACATTATACAACTGCAGAATTAAAGAAAAACACAAAAACAAATTATATTGTGCGTAAGTGTGCTCATGAGTGTACAAACTGTTCCTCAAAAACAAATCCCAAATAAAAACACATAATAGGATAATGCCATAAAGCTCGTGAGAACTGCGCATGTGGATTGTTGGACTTATTGGTTGTTTGTAATATAAAAATAGTTGAAACATTTTTCTTGCTGTTTTGTATATATATATATATATATATATATAAAGTAATTTGATCATTATTTATCGTAATGTTTAGTTCAATTCAGGAGTTTTTTATGCTTTTGTTCTGAAAGGCAGCTTCAGGCACTGTGTGATTTGGGTATTGGAGATAAGTGGATATTTGGGTATTTTACCAGGGAAAAATAGGACCTGTAACCTTTTTCTTTGTACTTTTCGATTGAGTAAATCTCAAAAAATAAACTGCATACCAAATCCCTACCTGGACAATGGACTATATCCCGCATTAAATTCACTATCTGCTGCTTCTGTGGCAGTTTGATTTTTAGTTTGTTTTGGTGCAAATTGTTCATACATGCGTTTCAAATTGTGACACAACTACAATTGCAGTTTTTATCCATCCAATGTAACTGTAAAACTTTGGGTGTAACATCTCTCCATTTCCCCCATTCCCCTGACTCGTCAAATACACGGGACGTCGCTGGGATTGCCCACTCTTCTCCTGGAATCCTGACATAAGACAACCAACCTGTACAAGTTCAGTATGACCACCAGGAAGTTCTTGATGGCGAAGAAGCCCAGCATCTGGTGGAAGACATGGAAGTAGATCATGACAGTGAGCCTGACCACCAGGAAAGGCCCGTCTTGGATAAACAAAGCCTGCACGATGGTCCACAAGTCTGTGCTATGTTTGCTTAACATGGTCACTTCCTGAGACCCCTCCTCACAATCATTCCTTGGCTTTGTGTTCACCACTATGTTGAGAAAAGAGACAAAAAACAGATGGTCAGAAAGGAAGGAACAGTAAAGGGTCTCCAGTGTTTTTGTTAAAAATAAAAAGCCTTAACATGGACATAGGTTGAAAAAAAGCTTATTATTAAATCTGTTTGCACTTATTTTCCTTATATGTGAGCATGCCTGTGCTTTCACTGTTATATTATACATTGTATCAAGGTGTCGTTGAGATTCCTGTGAATCCCACAATTTATGATAAAAGCTTTTGGTTTCAATATTAAGCCATGCAGATAGTTTGAATTGTTTGCTGCATTTTTGTGACATTCAGACCGTAAGCTACAGTAATAGTGACCTATAGTTAATGCACTTTTTGGTGTCTGCATGGTCAATTATAATCTTTCAACCTAAGATTTTAGGCAAGCTTGGCTCAAAAGTCTATAAAGTGTTAAGCAAAAAAGACAAGACATTTCAAGCAGATGGAAATTATTTAATATAAATTGTTTCAGGAAAGCTACCTAAATAAACCTAACTTTGCTTAACTTTTGATTCCAAAATCTTAACAGATTACTCTTTTTTGCAGCTGCGTCACATAGTTACTGCACTTGTTTTCAAAAAAGTATTGTCCGCATTGTTTTTTGGGGGCAAAGCCCAGTAGTGTTTCTTTAAATGTGAAAAAAGTGTCCCTAACACTTTTTCTAAGTGTAGCCTACCAGTCGTTTTTGAATATTTATGTCAAATATTGTAGGCCTTCGTTCTCGCTTTAAAAGTCGCATTTGTAGAGTAAACAAAAGTTATTAAACATGAGAAAGTTTAACAAAAGCAATACGCAGCAGAGAAGAGGCGGCTGCTGTGTCACCGCCCGCAGGAGGGCAGCGACCGGCAGATTTAACACTGACCTCAGCTCACACTCAGGAAACAGAGTGCGGAGTCGGTACAACAAATGTAACCCTATGCGATATGGTTAGAAGGAAGCAAAATGTGCCTCGGCATAGTATAAACACTACCAATGAATCAATGGTTAAATGCACCAGCCAGAGAGTCGGAAACTCAAACATGTTGCAGGTGCATGATGGCTCCTTAGTGGACTTCTACGGTAACTGAGGAACTTTTACCTTCAGTGAAGAAGGGTTTCATTCAGTTTGAGCTTGTTTAGAGGTGGACTGGTCAATCTGAACTATCATAAATTTGGGAATAAACCGAGTTAGGTGTTGTGTCAAATTATGCACCCCCATCATGAAATACCCCCCTTGTCACGGGAACGCGCATTTCTAAATGACACGTTTACACCTTAAAACGATGTTTAAAACGAAAAGTAAACGTTATGGAATTGTATTAATGGTAATGTTCAGACTGTGAGTTGTTTAGTGGTAGCTCATATAGTCTTGATTCTTGTGGTTAAACTTTTCGCTCGGAGTGAGGGCTATGGAGTGAGGGCTAGTCCTGCAATTGTCCAACACATTTACATACACACAGTAATTAATAATACATGTTGAATGAAATAAAGAAATAAAGTGACATATTATCCATACTCAAATTGTGTACATTATCACACATAAAATAAACATTCGTTTTGAAGATTAGAGTCCAGTGACATGGTAAGCAATCAAAGTCAGTGTGAACAACATGTCATATTCATCTTTAACCCTTGTGTTGTGTTCGAAAGCTGTTACCGTTCATGGTGTTCGCGAGTCAATTTTGACCCATGATTTATCTCCATCTCCAAAACACTCCAAAAATAATGACTATCATCCAATATTGTTTTAACTCCATCATAACCTTTAAATTACAACAGGATTGTTTGGTCATTATTTTGGAGTGTTTTGGAGATGGAGATAAATCATGGGTATAGTTGTAGGACTAGTACCAATGAATGGAGCAAGTTTCATGTATGTGACCCTTTTATTTTGTAAGATATTAAGGGGGGGCATATTGTGATAACCAGGCCTGTCATAAAATGCACCCCACCCAAAAAGATGTTTGTATTAATCCCACCCACAAGCATTTTTCATGGTATAGTTGTAGGACTAGTACCAATGAATGGAGCAAGTTTCATGAATGTGACACTTTTATTTTGTAAGATAGCAAGGGGGGGCATATTGTGATAACCAGGCCTGTCATAAAATGCACCCCCCCCCCCCCCAAAAAAAAGATGTTTCTATTAATCCCACCCTCAAGCATTTTTCAGGGTATAGTTGTAGGACTAGTACCAATGAATGGAGCACGTTTCATGTATGTGACCCTTTTATTTTGTAAGATATTAAGGGGGGGCATATTGTGATAACCAGGCCTGTCATAAAATGCACCCCACCCAAAAAGATGTTTGTATTAATCCCACCCTCAAGCATTTTTTAGGGTATAGGGTATAGACACTTTTATTTTGTAAAATAGCAAGGGGTGCATAACGTGGCAAAAATATGCTGACAAAGACTATGTAAAATGTAACATTTGTAAACATATATTTTGATTATTATATGACAAATATGTAAAATTAAACAATACATTTTAAAGCACGTGTATACAGACAGGACGTAACAATAATAACAAAACAAAAAGATTAAGAAAAACAAAAACTGAAAAGGAAGTGACGAATGCATTTCGACACCACTACCATCAAATACGGAGCGAAAAGTTTAACCACAAGAATCAAGACTATATGAGCTACCACTAAACAACTCACAGTCTGAAAAATACCATTAATAAAATCCCATAACGTTTACTTTTCGTTTTAAACATCGTTTTAAGGTGTAAACGTGTCATTTAGAAATGCGCGTTCCTGTGACAAGGGGGGCATTTCATGATGGGGGTGCATAATTTGACACAACACCGGGACAGCGCAGAGAACCCCCCGGAGGCTGTTCACCCTGGTGAGTGCAACAAACATAGAAATAGAAGGAGAGTAGAAGGGATATCTTACCGTTCACCGTGTGGTGATTAAAACAACGTTAGTTAAAAAGAAAACTGTGCTCAGAACTGTATATGCACATACAAACATTACAGTCAAGTTACATCACAGAAACATGGCCTCCACTTTGACCACCCTGCTGTTTTAAAAAAGAAAGAAAATGTGTGTTCTACTCTAAATCTATTTCTATGACAACACACCACACACTTACTCAATTCATTAAAACGTCAAGAACCACTCTGCATTGCAACATAACGGTGTGTTTACACATTGAACAAACACGTTTTTTTGTCTTAAATAGGTTAAATACTGGTCATAGATTGTTTCATAAGCTTTTTTTGTTTAATGGCTTGAGTTATTTTTCTCTTTTTTTGGTTCATTCTAATGAAGGGGAAATGAGCGGTTTTAAACTATAGGCCTATTTATAATTGATGATTGGTTGTACACCAAGGCTGCAAAGTGTCCTCGAGGGAAATGGAAATCATTGTTGGTTTGGCCATTAGGGTTCATGTAGCTGATTTGAATGCATACATTGACATTTAATGCAGTTTATTTTGGATCCTAATTATCGTAAACATTTGTAGAATAAACCTGCATTCTTGGTTTTTTGCATTCTCCAAGCCTTCTTGCCTGTGGGAAAAAGCTGTCTACAATTTGGCTTGTGTTTGGATATTCTTCTTTACTACAGACGACTAAGGCAAGATTGTGTAGGCGTCAACCTTTTCAACTTTCTCTGGGTTCATAGCATGCTCTCCACTGAGTTGTCTATACTGTGTTAACAGTCTATGGCTCTATCAGACACGTTCATGTTCCTGAACATATTGCACCTGTACGTCCACACTTGCTATGTTTACGTGGCATTCAAACAAAGTGGATACGACTGACTAACAAAAAGACACACCCACATGAGTGGACACAAACACAAACTGAAGAAAAAGCAGCTTCATCTGTAAACACAACAGAGCTCTGAGTATTACATCTTTAAGTGCTCTAAATGCATTATAGGATAAGATATACCATTATCATCCCAGTAGGGAGATTCAGACGGTAAAGCTACAGATAAAAGTTTCACTGTTAAAAGTCTCATCATCCATTTGTACATTATTGAATGTTGGGTTATGAATCATTTAGATAATAAAGGGGCCTTGTATTTTCTGAGAACAGAGTTGTGCTGTTTCTAATCGCGTTACAATGTTCTCTTTTCTCAACACCATCCATTGTTCCGTCAAAATGTGTGGGCGGGTATTTTGTGTGCTTATTATAAAAAGGTTGCAGAACGACAGCTGCAAGTTGGGCCTTGCCTGATAACGGCTTTCTCTTTTCAGCCGAGTTGAGCACTGTAGTGCTGCAGATAGCTGTAACAATCTTTCACAAGTGGTTACAAGCACCAGCCAGACTACTTTGTACTGTTTACTTGGAAGCTGCTGTGCTGCTGTGCTGACTAAACACATTGTTGCATTGTGTCACACGATGAAAAGTACACAGCTGTATCTGCTTTATAATCACCAAAGTAATTAGTTTAAGACGCAAACACACACGTACCAGCCAGATGTAGCGGGAACTGCAACATGCTCCAAGTCCATACAGCTAAAATGATGTAGACCAGTTCAGGATAGCGCGCTCTGGAAAAGAAACAGAAAACATAGTCACGGTCAGTCCTGTGAGTTCAAATAAATGTCAATAGGAAGATGCTAATAGCAGTTAATGCATTGATGTCCAGGGGCCTCATTTATAACGCCTTGCGTAGGATTGACGTAGGAAGGTTGCTTACGTAGTACAAAGCACAAAAATAGGTACATAAATTTTCCGCCATTTTCCGATTCACAAAACATTGCGTAGCGGCGAGGGAAGTGCGTACGGCACTCCCTACGCCTTTTTTTTTTTTTTTTTTTTTTTTTTTTTTTTTTTTTTTTTTTTTTTTTTTTTTATTGAACATTTTTTTAAACATACAAAAGCTCGGTGAGGATATCATCAACTTATCAACATAAGTTCAAGACATTCATTCACAATAAGACAAAAAAACATAACTAATACATCCAGTAAGAGCCAGGGGGAAAGAAAAAAGCATAAAGGCACAAAAACATTTAAGAGGCATTAAGCTTACTTAAAATAATAACCATTTGGAAATGTCATTGCAAATCTTTATAGACAGGTTACAAGATTGTATTTTTCTAAGGGACAGAAAAAAGGACTTGAACTCATTTATGAAACAGGGAAAGGAGGGCTTGCCTCCTCTCCATTTACTACAATGTAAATGGTATTTACCCAAAATAATAATTATATTTACCAAATCAGAAATGGGAGAGTCCAAATTATCAATATAATATAAAATGTGATATATTTTGAAGGCCGGAATATTTGTTAATTTAAGTAACAACCAATCTCTCACATTCGACCAAAACAATTCAGAAAAGGGGCAAGAGAAAAATAAATGTTCCAACGATTCATCAGATAAATTACAAAAGGAACATGGTTCCACTTCAAATTTAAATCTTGAATTTAAAAAAGTAGAAACCGGGTAGATTTTATGAACAATTTTAAAATGAGTTTCTTTTGCTTTAGGGGAAATAGGCCATTTATAAAATCAGATAGAGCTTTTTCCATTACAGATAAAGTGTCTAAATCGGTCACTTGAGGAAATAAGCCTCTGTTAAAATTGTGAAAAATGTGGGATTTCAGGGAAGCATTAATAGATTTGTTATTCTTAAGAGTATCGCCAATAATTTCCAAATTAGGTAAAACTGATACAACATTTGAGTACAGTAAAGTATTATGAATCATTCCAATAAGTGGTACAGGAATTGCTTTACAGATTTTGTTATAATCTTTAGCAGTACACGTTATATTGTATTTCGTTGAAAAGGCCAAAAAATCTAGCAGTTTACCATTGCAATCTAGTAAATCTCTAACAAACAAAATACCCCTCTCATGCCAATCACTCCTAAACAAGGATTTTCTGTTTATGATAATCACTCTATTGTTCCATAACGTAGATCCATGAGGAGAAAAATTGTGGGTAAATATCATCTTCCAATAATGAAGTATCTGCTTATGAAAATTTGACAATTTGGTCGGAATCTTATTAACCTCAAAATCACATTTTAAAAGAAAATCAAACCCTCCTAGACGTTTAAATATGGCCTTTGGAATATGGAACCACATGGATTCTGGCTGGGACAAAAAGGCTTTCAACCATTTTATTTTAATTGTTCCAATCATCGATTCAAAGTCTAAAGCTTTAATTCCGCCTTTATCATATTCTTTAACAAGCTGTGACTTTTTAATGTAGTGAGTTTTATTTCTCCACAAGAATTGGAAAATAATTGAGTTGGCTTTTTTTATATTAGCCGAAGAGACAAAACATGAGTGGCATGGATAAATAAGTTTAGATATACCTTCTGCTTTAGTAAGAAGAACTCTGCCAAAAATAGTAAGATCTCTAGTTAACCAACGACTGAGAGATTTCTTCATATCTGTGATACGGTTACAAATATTAAGATCTTCTCTCCTGATATAATTTTTAGATAATGTTATTCCCAAATATTTCACCTCAGGTACCACTCTAATAGAGTCAATAGTGGAATCATCACATGAATGGATAGGGAGTAATTCACATTTTGAAAGATTAAGAGATAACCCTGATGCTTTTGAAAAAATTGAAATTGTGTTAAGAGTTTCCTTTACCATGGATTTATTCTTTAGGAAAATGGATGTGTCATCCGCAAATTGACTAATTTTGAACTCTTTGTCAAAGAGGGTAATGCCTAATATTTTGTGATTCTTTATAATAAGCGTTGTTAATACTTGGGTGGTCAGAATAAATAATTTGGGGGAAATAGGACAACCCTGTCGAATACCACGTAAAACCTTAAACCTAGGGCTCATTCCAGGGTTCAAAGATACAGAACTATAAATGTCCGAGTAGAGCATCCTAATTATGTTGCAGAAATGTTCACCAAAACCCAGAAATGTCAGAGTTTCCATTAAAAAGGAATGTTCAACAGTATCAAAAGCCTTGTAAAAATCCAGAAATAGTACGAGACCTTCAGTATCAATAAACTCCTGGTAATCAAGCATATCCAATATCAGTCTGGTATGGTTATGAATACTTCTGCCCTTTATAAAGGCTGATTGACATTCATCTATTAGTTGATTCAGACCCGAGTTTAACCTGTTAGCATAAACATGTGCTAAAAGTTTGTAATCATTACATAACAGGGTAATAGGTCTCCAATTATCCAACAAAAGATTATTTTTATTTGGTTTTGGAATTAAGGTAATAAGGCCATGTTTCATGGTTGGCGAAAGGTTTCCTGCTGAAATGCAATCTGTGAACGCCTTATAAAGCATTTCTCGCACATCTGACCAAAAACATTTATAAAACTCTATGGTTAAACCATCCAGCCCTGGTGATTTGCCACCAGACATTTGCAGTAATGCACTATCTAATTCTTCAATTTTTAGTCCATCGTCCATATACTGTTTAAAAGAATAATCTATTGTCTTTTTGAATTCTGTAATTTTACTAAAAAAGTTATCACAATTTTCTTTAGAAAACTTTGAGTTATATAAATTGCTATAAAAAAGTCTAATTTCTTCATTTATCTGGTCTTGATTTTCAATAGTGACATCATTAATAATCAGTTTTTGGATTTTCTTTTTCACTTGTCTTTGCTTTTCAAGATTGAAGAAATAAGAAGTGTTTTTCTCTCCTTGCTCAATCCATCGGGCTCTCGAACGAATAAAAGCTCCCTTTGCTTTTTCCAAATACATGTTGTCTAATTGAGTTTGTAAATTGTTCAGTTGAATTTGCTCATCCAATGATAACTCAGCTTTAAGGCATAAATTATTAATTGCACTTGTCATCTCTTGTTGTTTTTGTTTCTTTAATCTAGAAGAGTATTTACAGGATTTTATCGCAATCTGTCTCACACTAAATTTAAACCATTCCCATTTACTGAGAGATGACATATCCAAAGCCAGAGTTTCTTTTATCAGTTGTTTGATCTCTCTACAAAAATCTGCATTCTCCAAAAGACTATTATTGAATTTCCATATAGGGTTAAGATTGGGACTGAAGTTGCATAGTAAAAAGGACAAAGAGATGACACAGTGATCCGTCAGAGGTGATGCTGAAATGTCACACTTTGAGACATTATTAGTTAAACTAGTAGAGATTAACCAATAATCGAGCCTAGAGCACTGACCATTGTTAGAAGAGTTAAACCAGGTATATTGTGATTTTGAGGGATTATTTATTCTCCAAACATCAGTTAAATTAAGTTTAGAGGCCAAGTGAATAATAGAATCATTAAAATTATGACATTGTCCCCTTAAAGGAAGACGATCTAACCACTCATCAGGAACTACATTAAAATCCCCTCCGATTATAATCTTATCAGTCATATAAAGTGCTTTCCATTCCTCTAATTTTTGGCACAAGATTGAAAGAAAATTATTGTTTTGAATCTTTCTGTTATACCCATAAACACACACCAGTATGTAATTAGACCCATTAACATCAGTCACAACCATTAGCCAATGACCGTTTGTATCACTCCTGTGGTCAATTATATTTCCAGGTAACCTGTTAAATAAAATCATCACTCCAGCCGAATGTGTTGTTCCATGGCTGAAAAAAATGTTGTCTCCCCATTGTACTTTCCAGAACTTAGTGTCTGCCTCTGCAGAATGAGTTTCTTGCAGAAAAACACAATTTGCTTTTTGTTCCTTACAAAAAAGAAAAATTGCCTTACGTTTCACATTGTTTTTTAGCCCCCTAGCATTTAAGGATATGAAAGATAACATTGAAAGAGCAAAGATAGAATCTTTAAGAAAATGCGCAAAGGAATGTTATATCGATGCGCAGGAGTGAGTAACGTAGCCCTTAACAAACATATTTAGTGCAATAGCTCACAACATTTTGAATATAACCTGAGACAAGTCCAATCAAACACTCAAACTGAGAACTTCAGCATACCTACTGAGGACAGAAAACCTGCTCCCTGTCCTTCCAGTTAATTACTGCGGTGTTTTTCACTTTATTCCGGGTCCACTCTTTTGTTGTCAATCAGCGCGAAGCCTTCCTTCAAAAAGGCTCTCTTCCCCTTTCTCCTGGCTTCTTGAACCAGTGGCCACAGCTTGGAGCGAGCCTCCCGGTCCTCCTTGGAGAAATCCTCTTTGAAACGAATGTGCATCTCGCTGCAGACTCTCGCATCTTTGGACTTTTTCCAGATCTCGTCACGAACAGTCCTCATCCCGAACTGAATGATGATTGACCGCGGTGTGTTGTTGGAAGTAGCTGCATTACCCTTCATACCCAGCCGATGGACAGTGTCCACTGAGTCACGCAGCTTCTCCACAGACAGCGGAACAACTCTTGTGAGTATCCCGATCACAGCTTCTCTTGTGTTTTCTCCTTCTTTTTCAGGCAGACCATTCATCCTCAGATTCCACCTCCGTTTGTAGCGGGCTTGCTCCTCGCCAGACTTACGTAGTAAAGTGTTATCTTTTAGAAGATCATCAAACTTTTTCTGAAGAGCAGAAATGTCTTTCTTATTTTCTTTAGCTGCTTCAGTGTTTGCTTCAATGCGTTTTTCAAACTTTCTTAACAGCTCTGTCTGTTCATCCATTTTTCCGGATAAGACTTGAATTGCCTGGAGAATGGTGCTGTTGCTATCCTCTGCCATTTGTGTTTCGCCGTGAACCTTCGATTTCTTTGGATTCGGTCCTTTAGTTGGTGTGTGGTCCCGATTTATTTTGTGTCCCTTAGAGTTGTCCGCTTCCATGTCCTCAATATCCGAGTCGTCACACGCCTCACGGAGAACTTTTAAGTTGTAATCGTGGTCGGTCATGCTAGCAGGCACTTTATGTCAAAAGTGTTGGTAACTGGAGAATTAAAGTAAAATGTGACTATTTAAGCTTCTATAATAACTTAAAGTGTATCATGAATAAGCTATTGCCTGTCAGTTTTACAGTCAAGGACTAAAATCTAAACTTTTTCTACGAGCCTGCAACGTTGTTACTTCTCACTCCGCCATCTTCCCTACGCCTGTTTCCCTTGATAAATCACAATCGACTCGTAACCAAGCCCCCAGGAAGTGCGCCGGACTCTGATGAAAATATTCGTGCTGGCCAAACGGCGGTACTACACTTCCTTTTGGTTGCCAGGCCCGGAAACACTTTTTCCCATTGACTTACATGGGGAAAGAGTGGTCTGTAAATCGTTGGATAATTTTTTTTAAACTAAATTAACTACCCAGTATGAACACTTGTATAGCCCTTATTAAAAACATTCGTTCCTCAAGTTGTAAAAATGTGCTAATAACGTTATTCTGTGAGTTATTTCCCTCTGCATTATGAACGCGCATCTAACCCACGGGACCGCGCCGCCCGGCACGTTCATGTTACGATTTCAGCACTACATGCGTTTATCTTTACCCATGGATGCACAATAAGAACGGACCCATATCGCCTTACTGCCAGCCCACGGAGCTGTAATAATGGATATATTGCACATGTTTGCTGTAATTCATCATTTGTAAAATATTATACTACATGGGCTGTATGATTAAATCTTGTACCGTAAATGTTGTATTAAATAAAGTTAATATTACCGACGTAGATTAACGTCCCTGTAGCTTCTTATTGCACTAAGAAGCTTATTGCACTGTGTATATATATATATATATATATATATACATACATACATATATATATATATATACAGTGCAATAATTATTTCATGCTAAATTAAGCTCTGTTGCTTGGATATCACTAGATCCTGTTACAGCGTAATATAAAAGTACATAACGATTGATGTGTAAATTAGCATAATTACTAGCTAACCGCTAGCTGCTAACTGCCGCCTCGTTAATATCAAATCTATCATAACAAACATTACCATGCTGTCATGAACGTGCGGTGCTGTTACGTGTACGCAAATTGACGTGCTTGATGTGAACGAGCATTTTGGGGGGCATGGTTAAAGTTGCGCATGCGCTATGAGCGCACATACGGGTACTTCTCAGGCATGCCGGGTAATCTGTGACGTTTCGCTCTCTCAAAAGTTGGGCCATTTTATCATCATGCGCGAATGAGCAACTCTCATAGGAATGAATGAGGCCCCGCCTCCCACGCTGTATCCAGTTCTTATTATACATCCATGCTCGTAACGCCCATATTTGCCTATACATAGTCAAAGAAACGCCCATTCATTCATTCATTTTTGACTGACTGCATGAAGAAGATCGCAGGAAATTACGATAGAACAGCTAAAAAAGACATCTCACACCGTGTCAGACTTTGGTTATTGTGGGGAGGTCGAGATAAATCATATTGTTTGGTGGATGCAGTTTGAACCAGAGTAGCAGCATGGAGGTCGGATCGTCACCAAAATAAATAAATAAGTGGTCCGAAAAAAGTTAATGACAAAACAAATACACATAACCTTCCTCAGGCAGTGTGTTTGTCCCGGGGACAGGAGACACCCCCTTGATGAGAAACTGTAAGAAATGATCGGGGAATCCCTCCGGAGTGGAGTCATGACGACTGGATCTGAATTATTTTTGTTGTATTTGGTGGTTTGTGTTCCAGCTGTCGATCAGCAACTATATATACATAATCCACCAGTTAAAGGAAATACAACTAATGGATTGTGTTATATTAGCTGTACAATTTACCACATATGGTGTTCTTAGTTTCCATACCTCCTGTGTTTTACGAGCGACTTATCAAGTCTTGGCAAACGGCATAAAACACGATTAAACGTGATAGTATATAAAACCATGCTCGTATCTACAACCTATAGAAATGCAAAACGGCGTCAGTTTAGACGTAATTCTGTCCTCCTGTTTACCGCATCATTTATGAGAAAACATTTCATAACATTAACACAACATATTCGAGGTGGTTTTAAATAGCATATCCGTATTTATTTATTTCTCCAAGTTATGTTTTTGTGTGCACTGAGGAGTCTCAAACAGGCGTTTGTTTAATCATTTTAAGATTGGCTTTAATCAATGTTTGAAAATGAATTCTTCATATTTGATAAATGAGAGGTAACATTTTATTTATGGTATTATTTCCACATATTTCTCTCCATTCTTCCTTCTGCCAACGGTGTCGCAGTTTCTCGTCTCTCCCGTTTGTGTGCTTAGTGCGTACGCATGGGTTAGAGTTTGCGTGGAGGACAGCACATTTTCCCGTCAAGTTAGTATTTTATAAATCGCAAACATTGCGTAGAAACTGGCGTACGCCATTTTTTGAGCGTATATCCCTTTATAAATGAGGCCCCTGAGCTGGGCACACAGTTAAGGAAACTTCCCCTTCAAAGTATTTGAGTTCTACATCTTTGCATCTAGTGTTCATAAATAAGTGTTAAAGAGGCCCTATTATGCTTTTTAGGGTTTTCCCTTTCCTGGAGTGTGTTTGAGCAATTGCTCTTTCATTGGCTTTTATATTATGATTATATAAAATAAAGTTAGCTTTATGGCCGGAAAATAAATGTATGATCATTTTAGAGTTGTAGTTTGTCAATTTTGTGGCAATTATGCATATTTGTATCTTCCTGGTGTTAAAGCGGTACAGTAGTCATATAACAATTTTTTATGTTTTTTATGTAAAAAGTAGCTAGTATCTATGAGTGTTAAATACATTTAATGTAGTGAAAAGAACAATATTCAAACAAAAATATAAATATGCTACTTATCCTAAAGTACAGCAAAATTATTCGCCACTCACTTGACATCAGACAGTGTCTCACAAGTGAATTCGAGGATGTCTGCCGCAGTGCCAACGAAAATTAGGAGAAGCTGCGAGAGCTCGTCACGCGTGACTCCGCCTCCCAGTGGGAGGAGCCACTTCCCCACGATGAGGAGGATGAGCAGGATCTGATGAAGACCCAAGATCCAATCGTTGGAGCAGACAGTCGATAACATCCGGTTAAAGGACTGTAAAAGGAACATAGATTGAGTTTTGTCAATAACTTACACTAACCCTCTTACACTACATTCATCCCTTAATGTGCAGTTAGCTCTCAGCCCGTGCAATGCTAACAGTTTCTGATATGATTGTAGCTATTTAGATTTAATATCAATTAAAGTGGAAGAGGGAATAGAAATGTTTCCTCCTCATCAAGACCTATTTCTTGTAGCCAAAACAAAAGAGAGACACATTATATTAAGATTGAAACAAATAAATCGTTAATACACAAATCAAACCAAATGATAGAAACTGAGTTGGGGCCAAAACAAACAATGCGTTTGTCTGTCTCTCAATACTTTCTGACATCTTTTAAAAAAAGGCTCAATAATGTAAACAGCTTTGCACTGTAGTCAATCAAACACGAGCAAACCGGAACTGTCTTCAATAGCTTTTGGACTACAGTATAGGTTAATGGCAGAGGAAAATAAACTAAACCAGTATTTGGCAACATACACCATGCTTGTTAGGATCATTGATTATTTTTAAATAGGATTTTTGTCCAAAAAGAACATTGTAGTGTATCACAAGAGTTATCTGTATGAAACTCCAGTTTGTTGCAGAACGTGGACTTTGTTTTTCTAACTGAAACACAGTAACGAGCTGAGACATGCAGACCGTTTTACAGTAAATTGCAGACAAATTGAATGATTTGTCTATTTTCCTGGAAACCTCACAGAGAAATTCTAGAGAAATCTGCATGTTCGGTTTCATTTTTAGGAGCTTGTGGTTAATTTCATTTCCACAAATATGTTGCATCTGCAATATAAGTGACATCCAAGAAAATCCTGGAACACCTTTTTTAATGCTTGTTCATTTCTGTTTTTGTCGGGCACATCAAAAATATGATTTAGAATAGGAGGCAAATAAAGTAAAACACATCTTTTAGTCTATCATTCTTACCATCAGGGCGTCGTGGTTTGTTTTATTTCCCAGGGTCCTGTTCGGGCTTATCAGCTTAAGCATATTCTCCCAGGAGTCAAGCTTTTTGCACTGAAAACCATGAGAAGAAGATTTTAACACACTTAATTTTACTTTTCAATATAAACATAAAAGCTAAAACGATAAAGAAGAATTCAATGAAGTCAATGCATAATTGAATGACTGCAGCGAGGTGTTCTAACAACCTAACCCTCCCACCCATCAACATTTGTGAATAGATAACATGTTTGGGAAGCTTGGGAACTGAGGTTTAAAACTCTGTCTTAGTATTTGGTTTTTGCTACCGGCTGGTCGCTGTCATTTTCCGTCTTGTCATGGAGCTCCAGGATCCAAATGGAGGGAATGATGCTGATGAGAAACAGAAAGATAGGCGGAGAACACCTGCAAGACATCCAGCAGAGCTTTAGCAACATAACATCAGAAAGTGGGACACATAGTGAAGAAAGATGTGATACCATAATTCCAAAAAGACAAGCAAAAACTTGTTAATAAATATAAGAATGATGTTGAGCTGAAATGATTAGTTGATTATATGAAAATAGGTAAATTGACAGGTTGCAGTAAAGCAGTGTTTCTCAAACTTTTTCATACCAAGGACCACTTAACCAATACAAAAAACACTCACGGACCACCTAACGCCCCAAATATCCAAAAACAAAAAGGCCTGCTTACCACTCCAACAGTTTATAACAAATGACAGCCTAATAATGATAGCTTAACCTTCTCTATATCGCCTCGTTCACACATTAAATCAACAATACAAATACAACTACAGAATATATAAGCATTTTAGTTCAAATGCGATTTAAAATGCTCATCGGTTTTACACCTCTTATGAAATGTAGACTACGGAGTTTATGTCCGAGCCGACAGACTCTCAGATCGTTTTACTGAGAGAAATGCAAAACACACCGCATGTAGTACGACACCAACCTCAAAATAAAATACAGTAAAACTATGGTCGCAGGCCCAAGTTTAACTCTCTGAGGTCTAAGCCATTTTTTCACTTGTTAGGCTCGTCTGGGCTTTTTTTGTAAAAATGCTATTAAAACATGAACCTTGGTGACCATCGGGCTGGCCTGCATGGTCTGTCTACAAAACAAAAATAAAAAAACGTTTATGCAGCCCCAACAACAGCCTCTGATTCATCAACAGACTTCATGTAATGCTTCATTGGATGCATATATTAGATATATAATCTCTATCTAACTCCTAACACATCTAAATCTACTTCCAGCCTGGATAAATGTTCATAAAAGACATCCATTGTTTGTTTTATACGCTTCTTGAAATCTAAAAAGAAACACATAGTTTTTCTAGAACAGATAACAAATCGCCTGAAAATGGTAAAAAAGTTAAACTCGCTCCATTGCGGAGATATTCCCACGAGAGTGCGGAAAACTTAAATAAATACATTTATTTCAAATGTGAAATTTTACCAATATACTCACGGACCACACGTTGAGAAACACTGCGAGTAAAGTAATCAATTGTGAAAATTCTAAATAAAAAACACAAGAAAGTTGATTGCGCTGAATTTCCATTATAAGGATCCTGAATATCAGTAAACAAGGGACTTGAAGCATGATTAAAGTGAATTAAAATGTCCCTTATTTATTCAGGGGGAACATAGGATTCATGATTACCCTCTTTAAGATTTATTTCCCACAAAAAAATGTCTTTCTGTTGTACTATTAAAATGTCTAAGGGGAGGGAATTCTACGATATTTAGATGTTGTTTTAATATTTGAGGATTATCAGGATAACGTTGTGATTCGCAATTATTTAAGCTTGTTCATATCACCCCATGTCTGTGCCCAGCATTTGAAATATATTATTTGTTGGTCTTGTTTGTCAAATTGTTTGAAGATTTCTTCATTGGCTCTTTCCATGATTCATCATTTTATTTTCTAATGTGCAGCTTGTTTGATAAAGACTGTAGTTGCAGCCCTACCCCTGGGTACTTTATCATCACGTCTAATTGAATATGATTGACTTTTTGTAAAATATTTCAATAATTTGAGTCTTTTGTGACTTAAACAGTTTGTCCAGTAGTTCGATTTTTTAAAAGTAGCTCAAGCTATGTTTATGTTAGCTAAGTCTTAATAAATAAACAGGATAACAAAACAAAAAGCTGGACATCACTGAGCATAGAAAGGAAATGAATGGGTGGGTGCTTAAATTCATAAATAAATACAGTGAAATACAGGCTATTGTTTACAGATTAGTTATGGTCCTTGAGTTCAGGGGTTACACCCTCACACCCCTTCCCCACTGCCCCAGGAGGGCTGCACAATAGCAGAGGACTGGGGACAGGCAGGATGCAGGGTGGGTCTATTTGGGGAGGTGGGGGAAGGGTTAAAAACGGGATAAATGACAAAAGCTTACATTATTCATGCATACAGCCCTAATGTAAATCTGCAAACAAGATTTCTGAGATTAGTTTTACACACAAATACATGCATTACATTAAATGAAACCCTAAAGCATAACATGCTGATTAACTAACACTTAAAGCATGCACCACTTCTTACCATTTGTAATCCCTTCCACTTTGTCTCTTCAGCGTTACTATCATTTCCACGACAAGCGGCAGAAAGAGGAAAGTTAGGAACCAGTACGTGTTGTCCTTCTTCTCCGAAGTCACCCTCCACACGCCGATCAGAGACACCAGGACAAACAAGGCTCTGGTTATAATCGCAGATATATACTTCAATAGCCACATGACTGCAGGCTGCAGGTCGCAGAGAATCCTGAAGTGAATCTCCTGAGAGTCGGTTCAGCAGCAGTGAGGGTGATCAGATGTTGAGTTTAGTTCAACTGAAAAAAGTCCCCAAACTTTAAGCCACGCCTAGAAAGACACGCACATCCAGTTGTACCTGAGGGAGGAGAGAGGGTAGGTGGCCAAGACAGATAGATAGATAGATAGATAGATAGATAGATAGATAGATAGATAGATAGATACAGTGGCGACTGGTCATTAGGGGCAGGTGGGGCACAGCCCCACCTAGTGTTAGCAGAAAGTATTACAAATAATGATTACAAAAAATGCAAAACATTAATAAAAAAATATATAAAATATATTTTAAGATCATGTTTAATCATCTGATTCGTCTGTACATTGCTGTTTTAGTCTGTGTTCTTCTAATTAGTGTCTACAGTGTGTGCCTATTGAGCTGTTTAGAGCCATGTGGGACAAAACCTGATCATGCCCCTTCCTCTCACTGTCTAAGTGAATGGTGAATGTAAAAACTACACTGCGCATGCTCAGAGTATTTTCCTATTTAATGTGTGTGGCAAAAAAATAATGACCATAGGGGCACTGAGCTGCCATCCCCACCATACGTCATCTCACATCATTCAGAGCTGATTGGCTGTAAGTACGTGTGCCGCGAAAAGTGTGGTGTGTGAAGAGGAGACGAGAGAGCTGCAGTGACGCGTCCTAAAACCCGGAAGTAAGCTGCGCATGGCTTCCCTCGACAAAAAAGCAATGAGGTTTCTCCATAGGATTTTAGAAAATAGCTCGAAATAAGATCTGTGGGAAACGTACCTGTTAGATAAATGCACGTTTTGTTCAGCCGGATAGTATCCACATGTCTACCCTACTTTTATAATTTTTGAATCATAAATCTATCGATTAGATTTATGATAGACTTTTGAAACTACAAGAAGATAAGGAGGACTTTTACAAAAAAGTAATAGAATTTTTTGTCCAGAAGGATAGGCAAATGGACTTCATCTTCAAGTCAAGGTAAGACCGCAATTGTATTGAAAATGGGATCTTACTAAGAGAGAACAATTCAATATTTAAATGATAAAATTAAATTTTTTGGGTATCCTTTTGTTGAACTGTCTGTTTAAAATTAATCGAAGCATCAGACAAAAAAAGCTTTTGAAAATAATATTATATTTTGGTTTAGGTCAAAATATAATATTTGTAAACCTGAAGAGTCAGTGCCAGTGCCTCACCAGTCATGAACCTCACTGCACGTCACTGCAGAAGCTTATATATAGACATCTAAGTTTGTTGTGCCCCACCACTTTTGTACATATAAAAACGCCACTGGATAGATAGATAGATAGATAGATAGATAGATAGATAGATAGATAGATAGATAGGTACTTTATTGATCCTAAATTGGGAGATTTTTGCGTTGCAGCACCATAAAAAAACAAGCTAATGTACATAAGAGAAATTAAGACACAGAAATAAACAGTCCAAAATATTTCTGAAATAGAAATAAAATAGCATTAAAAAATTAAGTTAAACAAATATATACATGTGGAAATACACATTTCCAGTAACAAATATAATGCAGGATATTATTGTGCAAGAAATGGATTATTCAATATTAAATTGAACATAAATGTAAAATGTACAGTGGGAGTTTAAATTCAGTTATTAAGATAAGCTATGGAGCAGAGAGTTCTCTGTCAGCCAGAGGTGATTTTTTGTACAGAGTTATTGCAGTGGGCAGGAATGTTTTCCTGTATCGGTCCCTTGTGACAGGGGAGCTGCAGCAGTCTGTTGGAGAAGGAGCTCCGTTGACTGTCCAGCTGCAGGTGGAGAGTGGGGGGGGGGGGGGGGGGTTATCTGTCTGTCCAGCTGCAGGTGGAGGGGGTGGGGGGCTGGGGGTTATCCATGATGGACAACAGCCTGTTCTGTGTCCTCCTCCCCACCACAGCTTCAAAGGGGTCCAGCTTGATGCCGATGACAGACCCAGCTCTCCTGATCAGTGTATTGATTCTGCTGGTGTCACCGGCTCTGATGCTGCCCCCCCCCCCCCCCAGCAGACAGCAGCAAAGAAGAGTGCACTGGCCACAACAGACTGGTAGAAGATCTCCAGCATCTTGCTGCACACGTTGAAGGATCTCAGCTTCCTCAGAAAATAAAGTCTGCTCATCCTCTTATACACAGCATCAGTGTTGATCCTCCAGTTCAGTCCATTGTCTAAGTGCACTCCCAGGTATTTGTAATCCTCCACAACAGCCACATCCTCAGTCAGTGGTGTATAAGGTGAACAGGAAAGGAGAGAGCACAGTCCCCTGAGGGGCTCCTGTACTACCAACCACCACATCAGACAGCACACTGCCCAGCCGGACATACTGTGGTCTCTCAGTGAGGTAGTTGGTAATCCAGGAGATGGTGGACGCGTTTACCCTCATAGCCTGCAGCTTGTCACTCAGTAGCCGTGGCTGGATCGTGTTGAATGCACTTTATATTGCATACTTTATTTATCCCAAGCAGGGAAATAGATTTTCACAGCAGCATTTTGACAGTCAATGTACAAGAATTACAACATTTCCTAAAAATAGAATAAAATATAAAGAAGCATTACTAATTGAAAACATTATATACATTACAGATAAATAACAGTATATCGTTTTTTTCAGAATCAGATATCCTTTATTTGTTCCGCAACGGGAAATGTACATGATTACAACAGCAGATAGTGCAGATAAAGTGAGGAAACAATCAAAAAATGGCTAAGCATGCACATGTTGTTTATAACACAATAACTAAAAAACAAGATGGCAGATATATCAACACCATGGTAAAAAATAATAGCAGTATATTTGTTTTAAGAAAAGTGACCATATTGAATCATGAGCTAGCTCGTACTGTAGGCCAATTGTTAGTAAACTGAGAAAAAAAGATAAATACAAAATAAACGTGAAATTGCAGGAGGTTATATTGCACTTGCATGTATATTGCACAAAGTTTTATATTCCAGTCTATGTGTTGGGGGGGATCTTCCAGGGAATGCTGCAGGAAGGAAGGACCTATTGCACCCCTCTTCCCTTTAAGTATATCCAGTTCTGCACAACCCTCCAAACGCCCTTTGCACATCTGTACACAATACCTCTCATCCACTTTCCACAACAATACTGTTATTTTATTTGAGTTTATTTTAATATTCTCAGTACTTGGCAATAGTATACTGCACATAGTTTCTTTTTTGGATGTCCAGATTACATGTAAATCATTTTTCTATATCTTAACGTATAATAGATTCAATTGTTTATTGCATTTTTTGGTAGTTATCCTACTTTTTATCTTCTTTAAACCTCCTGTTGTCTTCGTGTCAAATCTGACCGATGTACTACTTTCATCCATCATAACTTCTTTGTTTTACATTCAATTGCATTAAGGCTTTATGATATCCTTCACAGTAGACACACACACATACATACTCTAGATGTGTTCCCCCCCATTATGTGCCCATGTGAATCACACCTGGCACACACAAACAACAATTTGACACATTTCCCGCTCTTATGTGCCCATCCCCCCACATGGATCACACCTGGCACACACAATACATGTTCAGTGTCTATTTTTTGTATATTTACTGCAGTTGTTCATGTATACCAGTAGTCTGATACAATATGTACAGTTTGAAAGGGTGTTAAATTAAATTTGGTGATGATTAATGGTTAAATTAAATTAAGCAGTTAAAACAGGACCGGTCAAATTTGACCGTGAACACCAAAGTAAGGGGGGGAAAACGAAGACAATAGGAGGGTTAACTGTGTTTATGTATGCACCAGTACACCAGGGCAGATTCCTCGTATCTGTAAACCTACTGGGCAATAAACCTGTTTCTGATTCTGATAATCTCAGTAGAAAAGACATATATTCAGAAGAATATCTACACAATATAAAATGTACAGAATAAATTAGAATTCTCTCTAATAATCTACTAAAAAGACAGAAACATATAAATATAGTCAGTGAGTTCTCTGCCGGCCAGGGTGAGTTGTTGTTTAGTGTTATTGTCTGAGGCAGGAATGACTTCCAAAGCTACAGTAGCTGTTTTTAAGTGAGCTCATTCATAAATATTTAATGATTAATGGGTTTAATCAGGGGATCCTCAGAAACTCTGTGATCGAACAGGAGAGGGCAGCATCACATCATCCGTCCGTGAAGTAGAATAGGCTGCACAACAAGAAAATGCTAATACAACTACTTCCATTTGTACTTGACTTCAGTACTTCAGTAATTGTACTTAGTTTCACTCCAGCAATGCATAAGGATAGACTTTATTTTGGAAGTATACATGAGAATATTTATTTGAATACTTAGCTTTTGATTGCCTGAAAATTGTGTATACACAATACACAATTTTCGTTTTTTTTTTATAAAGCCAACATAGCATTGTAAAACTTAACCAAATACGCAAAAATGTAACAGAACATTGAAGACATAGACATACAAAAATCTCAGACTATACAACATTTAAAAAATACCCAAAAATGGTTTCATTAAACACATTTAGTCAGTGTGTCCAATGTTTTCATTAGGATGTATCCAACATAAAGCCACAATCATGTAGTCTAATCACATATTTAATTATCTCCCCATCAAGAAAATAACACCTCAGCCTAGCTAAAACAGGCTGAGGTGTTATTACACACACACACACACACACACACACACACACACACACACACACACACACACACACACACACACACACACACACACACACACACACCACACACACACACACACACACATACACATACACATACACATACACATACACACCACACACTCTCTCTCTTGAGTCATTTGCCCTACTTGGCTGCATGCTGAGTAGATTTCTATTCAAAGCAATCTGGCAAGGCAGTGCAGGAGGGAGGAAGCAGTAGAAAGGCCTGTGACCTTGGAAAAGAGACAGACTTTTCCTGCCTTTGTTGCACGATGTCTATCATCATCTCGGTTTGCATCGCGTAAAATCACAATGAGAATGTCAGTGAAACAAGCAGGGGAGAGAGTGTAGCTGCAGAGGGGAAAAGTTCTGTTGCATCCTGAGTCAAAAA